TTTGTAAACGTTGTTGTGGCGTTAGTCTTTCCATGATGCACTCACTGGCAAGCCTTACCAAATAAGAAAAACATTGACACTTCACAGAGACATTTCCAACATAGCGGCAATCTCCATCAAAAGTTCTATCACTGCTATTGGTACACCCTTTATTTTTAACTTGGGAATCTGTATTACGGGCGCGCAGTGGCGGCTCGTCAGGGTAGGCCTCTGAGGCCGCGCCTCACCCTTAAAATTAAGGAACGAACGACTTTTTGTATTTATATTTTTGCCTATTACAAGTGTATTTTTACAACAGTTCTACCCAATAAAAAGTAAAAAACCAATCAATCATATTAAGCGTAAATAAAAATCCAGGCGCAAAGCGCGTCAAGTTAACGTGCATCGTTGAGACGCCAGACAGAGGCGAAATTTTCACAGCCTCGGAAGCTCCCATTTACCTCTTGAAAGCGAAAATGACTCACCAACAAAAATATCGCCGTAAGTTCGCGAATAAACACCGTAGATGAGGCGATATTTAGTTAGCTTGGTTTGTTCTGATTGGTGGTCCGTTTATGGTGGGATGCCAGCGGAGACAAAGAAGGTTGCCAGTCTTCTCTTAGCGTTTGTAGAGCACGTTATTGTTTTGATTCAGATTAAATTATTTAAAACTTTTGGCTGATCTTTTATAGTTTTTGTCTCGATTAGTAAAATTTCTTATTTAATTATTGTAGGGAACACACTAAGGTAGATTTAGCAGTTTTTATTAAGCAAATTTTATATTTTGAAATAATAGATTGCATAATTCTTTAATTAGAGACGCGGTTTGAAAATTTAGAATTACTTTTAAATCTCACTGCAGACCCACAATTTTACGACCAAATAATAGATAAATTTTCAATCTTAAAAGATAGACGTATAGTATTTTATATTTTTTAATACTTAGGTAGGGGTCGACTTTTTAGTTTTATTTTTATTTTTTGATTAATTTATTTATTTTTAACTTTTTTAAGACTATATTTTTAAGTTTAGGATTAAAACTAGTTTTTGATGTGATATTTTGTTTGTTTTGTTTTTAAGAGTTTATTTTTTGGTTTAGTAGTGCTATCGGCTCCATTTTAAAAAAGGTCAACGCGTCGCAGAATAATACCTCCCGGGTGACGTGGAAATTTATTCGTATTTAGACAAAATTAACCTTATGTAGCCTCACCCTCCTGTACACCCACGAGCCGCCACTGCGGGCGCGTCGATCAAAATGTCAAATTTTTATGTGTAAATCGAAATTTATTCATTGAAAATGAACTAAAAACCGTTTAAATCCGTCTCCACCCGAAATTAAGTTAAATCTAGTTTACTGCCGGCGAAACGAAAAGGTCCAAAATTTATTCTATAAATTGTATATTTTTTATTTTCATATCTACTGTAAACATATTAGTACAATTTGGAACTTTATTTGCGCTTAAAAAGCGCACCCGCAACCCAAACAGGGGGGGCATTTCGCGGCGTTGCCAAATGTTACTATGGTGTTTTAAATGAAGATCCACCGAGGATAATTTTATTTTTTAATAAAACTTGATAACATCATTTCGCAATGGAGAAGATTTATATAAATAAAACAAGTGGGATTATGATAAAATACAAATTTTGATTTTAAACCCATTGCATAATTTTTCTTTTTTTAATGAATTGACTAGCATTTTTTGCGGACATTTTTCTCACGTAGCTGGTAAACGTTTTTTTGACTATTATTACTGTTAGATATACATTAGGGTGGGCCGAAAATCCGCTTTTTTAGAATTTCGTTTAGTAATAGCAAAAATTTTGTTCATTATGTTGTAAAAAAATTTTGTGTAAAAGATTAAAATTTTCGATCAACATCCTAGGCTCGCCCAACGCAATTAAAGATCAAAATGTTCAAAAAAAATTTTTCTTAATTTATTTCGATCGGAAATTTTATGCTCTACACAAAATTATTTCAGATGGATAGTTTCAGAAATTTGTTCATTATGTTGTAAAAAAAAATTGTGTAAAAGATTAAAATTTTCGATCCTCATCCTAGGCTCGCCCAGCGCAATTAAAGATCAAAATGTTCAAAAAAAAATTTTCCTAACTTAATTCGATCGGAAATTTTATGCTCTACAAAAAAGGTCCTTACACTAAATTACTTCAGATGGATAGTTTTAGAAATAAAACCGATTTTAGTATCAAAATTTTTTTGAACATTTTGATCTTTAATTGCGTTGGGCGAGCCTAGGATGTTGATCGAAAATTTTAATCTTTTACACAAAATTTTTTTACAACATAATGAACAAAATTTTTGCTATTACTAAACGAAATTCTAAAAAAGCGGATTTTCGGCCCACCCTAATATACATGTATACAAAATTATTGTAGGTATTTAAATAAATTACTATTATTGCTGTGACTCAAAAAATAAGTATTAACTGGATTTCAGACTACTACTTCAGGATACTTTTACTAACAAAATTCTTTAAACCTACATAACATAACATAAATAAAAAATGGTCAACACAGCCTCTTCTCTCCTATATACAGTATCAAAAGATCGACTTTTTTTGCACATTTTTTCAGAATTTTTTTACCCAACCAAAAAAAATTCCTCTTTATTTTGTAAAAATTCTCGATGATTGTCTCTTTTAATTTTTTTTCTTTCTTTTATCAGAAACATTTTTTGAAATTTCTTCAAAATTTCGTGGCGTTTTTTCGTTTTCGATTTTTTGGTACTATCTGATGGAGTTTGTTTCATTTCTTCAACACCATTGAAACGTGTAAAAAAATAATTTTAGTTATTGTATATAATAGTATCTGATGTATCAAGTTTGATAAACGCCATTTTAGTGACAAATTTTAATTAGGCACGAGCGAGTGTTTAATTAAATGAGGGTCTAGAAAAGTTTATAAAAGAGTTGCATACTATACTTTTTCTACGACAAGTATTTATTATTATCTAAAAATTATTTAAATTAAACATTTCAATAGAGCGACATCTATAAAAAATAGAGTAACTCGCGTAAGTATTTTTAACTTGGGATTACGGGCGAGTAGATCAAAAGGTGAAATTTTTATGTGTAAATCGAAATTTGGCCATTGAAAATGGACTAAAAGCCGTTTAAATCTGATTTAGAATCAGTTTTTTACAGTGAAAGTGAAAATAATGTTTAATGGGCACTCCACGGTGGAGTCTCCCCCTGAAATTAAGTTAAATCCAGTTTATTGCCGGCGAACCCTGGCGAAAATAAAGCGTGCACGAAAAGTGTGCAATAAGTGTGTATTTAGAGTGCAAGTCTTTATAACAATGCGCATAGACGCTATTTTGTGGTAATGTCATACTTTTTGAAATAATTTAGTTTTTTCACTCTTTATGCACATTGACATCAGGCTTTTTATTTGTCACTTGTCACGCTTATATTAAATTATTTTTTTGCACATTGTTTGCACAGTTTTAGTACATTGTTTAAAGACAAGCAAAGCTTCAGTCTATCTTACGCATGTCACATTTTATACACACTGTTAGGACGCTTTATTATTTCTCATTTATCACGATTATATTACACCTTTTTATAGCACCTTGTTTGAACAGTTTTAGCGATCACTCAACTGTTTAAGCACATTTTAGATATATATTTGTGTGTGGTAAAACATTTATTTAAAAGATGAGGTAGATTACATCTTATGTATCGCTTCTCGGCAATCCCCGTCGTGGAGTTGACAGTTCCGGTATTTTTCTTAATAAAATACATGACAGAAATGTAAAACCTACATTGTGGGTATTTTTTTTTTAATTTTTTGAAAAGAACCTTTTCATTAGGTTAGTATTAATATTATTATTGGGATATTTATTTATAGATTAAATAAATTTAAAATACTTTAGAGGTCACCAAAAACAACAGAAGGTGGCAAGAAACAGTGTGCAAACAATGTGAAATATCAAAAGAAGTTCCCTTTAGAACATTGTCCAGTGATTATTCACACTTAATTTTTGGTTTTGCACATTGTTTCATGTTCCATTTCCCACCCTCAGTATCTAGGTACAGATACAAATACTCTTTGGCAGATGTATCTGGGTACAGATACCGATACATTCAAAAAGTATCTAAGTTACTTCCAGATAATTTCTGTTACCTAAAAATTTAAAAATTAAATAACAAAGAAAAAAATTGTTTGGACCTTATAACGCAATAGATATTTATAAAGCAAGTTCATCTACTGGATGTCCAATGGATAGGTATCCAGGATATCCTATGTATATCCTGGATATTTATAGAGTATATGCATTGGATGTTCCGTGTGGGGTTGCAATCGGGTTGGGTAAAATAAAATGTATCTTGTATCTAAGGATCTAGATACTTTCAAAAGGATCTAGATATTAAAGTAGATCCTGATTTTTTTAATTATCTCGATACGTATCTAGGTACATAAAATGTATCTAGATCTAGTATCCAGATACATGTATCTCGATACGTTACATCACTGCCCACCCTCTGCACATTGTTCTCAAATAATTTTGCACACTTTTTGCACATTTAATTTTCGCCAGGGAAATCAAAAGGTCAGTACAAAGTGCATTTAAACTTTTCAAATATTGGCGTAAAAACTTATTTTTTTTGGTAATTAAACAAAAAACATGAAACAAATTCCATCAAAAATGAACAATCAAGTAACATTATTTAAAATTTTCTTTGCTTAAAAAAAAATATAAAACAAAATTCAGAACTTTCTATTTTATTTCTTACTTTTTCGAAAAACAATGAAATTTTTTTGCAATTTCATTATATCTTTTTTAACTTTAAGATTCGATCTAAAATGTAAAAATCTAATGTAATAATCCGATGATTTTTATACTATATATAGTATAGTATTATGAGAAATAAGAATAAAGTTTGGTCTAAAGGTAAACAGTTGATTAGTTTGCTAATGCTCAATAGCGCGTATATAAATAAATCAATATTTAGGTTAAACAGCTCTCTCTAGAGACAGCATTCTCTGGGTTAAATAAAATAATAATACCCTGTATAATTAATGCTAACCAAACTGCTTTTGCATTTTGGGGCACGATTTGCGATCTTGTACATTTATTGGCAAAACTTATCAAACCGCTAGCTAGTGGTATTTAACTAAACCTAAGTATATTTTTGATGATGAAATACCCCCCAAATATACCACAGCACATAATATTACCCCGGTATAAATATTAATATTTAATTTATGCATAGAACATGTTCTTCCTTTTTTGTGTCTTCTCGGAGTAAATTTTTATTCAGGATATGCTAAAAATAAAAAAACGTGTTAGTATCAAACCCCTAACCCTGATAGCAAAATTTGATTTTAAGAATCTTCTAAGAAGATATGACCCGGAATAATGAAATATTCTTAGAAGCTTCCCTTATTGCTAAGAATGTTCTTAGGGACTTTTAAAATATTCAATAGATACCCTTTTAATGATGCAATTAGATTCTTAAAAGCTTCTTAAAACCTTCTTATAAAAAGAATAGAAAGAATCCCAAGAACAATAAAGAATACGTTTTTGGAATGTTCTTAGAAGGTTTCTTATGGAGCTTCTAGGAAGCTTTTGAGAATTTTCTCAAATATTTCAGATACCCACGTTCTAATATGTTGTATTCTACATTCGTAAAATTATTCAGGAGACGACAAATACGCCTCACTGTCATAATATGGCAGTGAAATGTATTTGTCGTCCCCTTAAAAAATTTTGCGACCTATTAATATATTTATTTAAAAATATTAAATAAACAATTTGACCCCTAAACCATAAGTTGTATAACATTATTTCATAAAAAGTAAAATTGGAAAATTTTGAAGTTGAAGATAGTTAGGATTATTATAAATAAAAATGTTAATTCAGAAATAAAAAATCGGTATACAAATTAATAAATATTTATTTTTAACATAAAATAAAATACCTATAGGTAGTAAAAGTATTTTTGTTATCGAATATTGTTTTAATTTAACAAATAACTATAAAAAAAATATTTTGGATTGTGTTTTTACTTAGTATTTAATACTAATTACTAATTAGGTACTTAAGTATGGGTATATTATACTTATTATACTTATACTTAAGTATACCTCTATACTTAGTGAACGAACACGTTCAATTACGCGTTATTTTTACCTTTACTTATTTTTATTATATAATGATATGTTTTTATTTTCATGTGTAGTGCAATAAAGCACTGTCAACTTAATGTGTTTTATAAAACAATATTTACGATATTTAGATACTATAAACAAAATGTTACCACGACGTATGCAAGTTTCTTGGTGTTTTCAAAAGACCACACAAGAAACCAGTGTTGCCATCTTGGAGAATTTTTCACCATTTCTTGTGATTTTTTGTTCTTGGTTGAGAGTTTTCAAGTTAGATAGCGACAAGTCTTAAACATGGAGAATTTAAAGATGCATCGGAGACAGTGGCGGATTTACACATTTTCAAGGTATAGGCTGAATAGTTTTTGCCGCCCTTACCTCAACAATTGTCATATCATACATTATTTTTACAATGCAACAATTTCGTTGAAATTGAACGTAAAATAATTTTTCGGTATATTTTTGAGCTAATCGAAGCTCAATCATGTATGGGCGGGGTAATGTATGTTAGAGCAACCCGAAATACGGCAACTGATGACTAGGTCTGGCAACGCTGCGAGCCTGAGGTGGTCAAGCGCGGGGGAACACGAGACATCCCGCGTCGAGCGCATGATCTTGGTATCATGCGTCGAGCGACATTATCGCCTTGAGCACTCGTCGGGCACGTTGTGTTTGACAATTGCTTATTGTACATTGGTGTAATAAAGGAGTTTTGTGTTATAAAACTGCGTCTTTTATAAAACTACTCTGTTATGTATGCTATTTACACAATAATGAGCATTTGGTAAACGTGAATAAATAATCTTTATTGCGCTTTCAAACAGTTAAAAATAATCGACTCAGTCATATTTTTTACAATTTCGCTCTTTTCACTCATAAGAAGTGTGGGCAAAGGGCGCAGAGGCGAGAGGCCAATTACTGGTTGAGGGGCGGCGAACTAGCTGTTTTACTCTAGAATATGAAATTTTGCTACTCTCGGAATGTGCAATGACAAGTGAGAGAGAAAAGTCATCGACAAAATTTGTTGCAGACTTCTATCTGTAAGACATCAGAAAACCGTCATAGAAAAATCTTTTTGATTTCTATGAGGTAACAAAAAATCGTTCCCCAAATTTGCCGCCCCCAAAATCTGCCGCCCTAGGCTCGAGCCTACTCAGCCTGCTGGTAAATCCGCCACTGATCGGAGAGTTTTTAGCGAATTTTTAATAATTAAAATACGGAATAAAAAATATTGAAAGTTTTGGTTGGGTGCGTTGTACTAGTGATTTTTTAATTAAGTTGGTTACCCTGCAAGAATTTATAGGTCGGACCTTTGCATAAAAAGCTCCATCCACACATTTAAAAAATATGCGACTCAACCATCCATTAAAGTTATTAATCTATGCCACCATCAGAACAGAACATGAGAACAGAAGACTCTATTAGTGTAATCACAGAACAAAAAGTGTAATATTTATTACGTATCATGTATCAGCGGTATATTAGTACTATCTAAATCCTTCTACTGTTTATCCTAAAATGTGCCCGTCAAACTTTGTATATAGAAAAATAGACTTATTTTGATCTGTACCTACATGCCGTTAGCAAAGTTTGGCCAGCTACTTTTGGGACATCCTGTATAGCTTTAAAAATATTTTTTTTGTTATTTCCATGTCAAACGAAAATGTTTATTATATAAAAAGGCATTAAAGCCTCATATTACAAAGTTGTTTTTTTTTATTAATTTTTTTGTTAACTTTTTAAATAAACTGTTTTATATTTTTTGCATTTTGTGTCCATACAAACCTCTTTGTTTTTGCCTCCCTGCTTAAAATACCCCATAGAGACCCTGTTCAAACCGATAGATATTTGTATCGGGATGTATGGTGTTTCTATAGGGTGTATCGGTTTGTATAGGACCCGTAGTTGAGATTTATGGTTGTTCTATAGGGATATCCACCATTGATTTATTTGCTATCGGTTTCAATGGGGAAAATACACATAAATGTAGAAATTAGTTTTTTCCCTATAGGACCCTATAGGTTTTAATAAAATTTTGTCAAATGTTTTATGGTTGCTCTATAGGGATATCCCTATATATCCTTCATTGAGTTATTTTCTATCGGTCTCAATAGGGAAAATGTAAAAGTTATGGTGTGCCTATAGGTAATTTCCTATACATTTTCTATCGGGCTGTATCCGGAAAAACCCATGGACAAATGCACATATAGAATCCGGTAGCGCCCGATAGATTATTTTGTATAGGTCTCTATGGGGTATTTTAAGCAGGGCTATTAAAAGTATTGGAGATTTTTTTTGGCAAAATTGGAGAATTCTGGTGAATTTTTGTTTAGGTTTTTGAGAATTTTAACATTTTTCTGTTGGCAACACTGCAAGAAACCGAGAACTAATATCAATATATTATATTACTTGTGCACAAGAACGATTTACGATACGATATTCGATTATATACGATGCGATATTCGATTAATTACGATACGATATTCGATTCGATATTCGATAATTAAACGAAATACATGCGAATACAAGCTATTTATAAATAGCTAATTAGCTTGATATGCGAAAACTGTAATTAACACAATTATTAATAATTACTACAAAAAGGCTTCTTTCTTAATTTTATTTAGAATTAAGAAAGAGCTTATCTACCAAGGCAATTATTCGTTTTTAACAGCTCACAAACCAGCTGATCCAAGAAGCAGCGTCTGCAACACAATTTGAAGACTACAATCATCAATCGGTAAGTGCTTTTTTAATTGAGTCACCAAAAACACATTTACACATCTTTATACACTTCTATTGCAATCTTAAAATTAATCTTTTAATTCAAAATGACCGAAATCGAACAAAGACTTAGATTACTCACAATAAAACGTAATTCAATTAAAAGATGAGATAATGATTTAAATCATTTAAACTATTATGTAGAAAATTATTATAAAGACACAATTCGTTGAATTCCAAATACGCCAAAAAAGACGTTACTATAGTAATTTCTTCACAAATTTCATCAAAATTTCCGAAATTATAATTTCGGAAATTTTGATGAAATTTGTGAAGAAATTACTTTAATAGAAGATACACTCAAATAATACAACCGAGAAAAATGACATTTTGAACGATTATTTCGCTATTTCGAGTAAAATTCAAGAGGTTATTTCCCGACACTTAATGCAAAATAATTCATTCGCTCGGTAAACGAATCGAGTAACTCACGGAAACGCAAACTCAAGTTACCACATGCAAAAAATTCCAAACTTTTCGGGTGATCGTAGCAAATGGCTTTATTTTAAAAATACTTTTATTTCACTAATTCACGACAACACATAAAAAAAATCTAACATAGTACCAAGCGCTGTCATTGAATGCATTTAAATTGTTATTTGCTCAATTAATTACTATTAATATAACCAAAATAGGGAAATATTTTGCCTAAATGTCAAAGAATTTATTGCGTTAAATGTATGCATAGTATAAATACAATAGTAACGTTATTAAATAAATCAAATTAGTATTTAATGCAATTATAACATTCTAACAAATAAATATCAATTTGAATATCAATAGATTTAGGAGCGATAACTTTTGTTGTTAATTTAAAAACAGTAAACCATTATAAACCAAGTGCTTAGCACTTGGTTTATAATGGTTTATAACTACCTATTGGTATTATAGGAACGGTTATTCAGGAATTCGGATTACAAGATCCAATTGGTTTAATGGCTCACCCATTCATGCTATGCTAGCGTTTTTACTGTGAAGACACTAGTTAAAGCCTATGAAAGTAAACGCTCGTTGATCGAGGAACATTTATCAAAAATACTTAACATCCCTAAGCAAGATTGCAATGATCACAAAAGTCTGGAAAATCTTGTAGACACAGCGCGAGTGAGCATAATGGCGTTAGAAAACTAAGGTGTAAAATTATCAACGATTAGTTTTCAAGGAAACTTAAGCTCAGTACACTTAAGTTTATGATATATTTTACTATTATACCTTTAGGTAACTGAACTAAATATGCTTAACAGGAATATTCCTAAATGAACTTTCTATAGCAATTACTTTCTTAACATTCTAAGCATATGTTTAGAGTAGACTAATTTTTACCACTTAAACTTTGCAACTTCTAAGAACCTGCCTATAAGCCAGTAAGAATATTCTTAGGATCATGCTATATTTCATTTAAGCATGTTCTTTAGAAGAAATAGCATGATCCGTTCTAGACTAGAATACTGCTCCATCATTTGGTACCCATGCTATCAATCTCAAATAAATATACTTGAAAATATTCAAAGACGTTACCTCAAGCTGATTTCCTATCGTACAGATAGAGTCTACCCCCCCCCCCCCCGTGGTATTGATCATAGCATTTTACTCGCACGGTTCCATTTTAATCCATTACATGTTAGAAGACAAGTTTCAAGCATTAAGTTTCTTTTTAAGTTGTTTAATAACAGGATCGATTCTCCTAGTCTCCAGTCGCAAATAAACATTTTTGTAACAAGATTGGGTTTACGATCAGAGACTTTATTTTATAACGCAAACGCTAGAACAAATATTTTAATTAAGTCCCCAATACATGTTATGTGTCAAAATTTTAACCAAATTTGTAATTCATGTGATTTGTTTAATGATGGTTTTAGAAGTGTATCTAATACAGCCATATTATTTTTTTCCCTTAATACTTAAAACTTATATTTGTTATTGTTTTGTTAATTTGAGGAATAGGTAAATGATTTATTTTTTGTTATTATAAACACTTAATGGTGTTGTTATTACATATTATGTTGTCCTGTAATTGGAATTATGTATTCTGTTGGGCAATAAATGTTATTATTATTATTATTATTAATATTCTCACTGGAAGGTTTAAAAAACATTCTTAGAATAAATCAGGGAAGTAACTAAAAGTGACTATGAGTAAAACGTGGAAGAAATGATGATAAAAAGCTTTAAGCTATCTCAAAGATGTGATTTAGGGATCTAAATTATTTTTACTTACAGTTAATAAAACTGCAGCAATCGTTCAAATCTCTAAAATAAATCTTCAACTCAGTTTGATTTATAACGTCTTCAATCTTTTTCATTATCTTTTCACTATCTTCCATTTCAACATATATCACGATACTTATTGAATATAACTTGGGAAACCATTCTTTTAGCTGCGGTATATCCATGGATAAAACAACATCGGACGGTAACCCCAAATTTTCCATTTGATCACAGTGACTTACAAACTCCAGATAAAAGTCCTCCAGAATGCTGTTGTTTATTATAAATAGATTCCTTAATTTTGTGAGGTTTTTAAACGCATTTTCTTCTATGGTTTTTAAATTATTGTTGTTTCTAAGTTCTATGTCTTCCAAATCTTGGCATGCCTCAAAAAAACCATCAGGTATTGTGGAAAAATTGGAATTCTTCAATTCAAACGTGGAAAGGTTTGGCAATACTTTTAAGGTGTTTGGGTCTAGTTCCCCAGTGAAGTTTTCCCAATACAATCTAGTGAAGTTTAATGGTTTTTCTTTACCGTGTAATTTGTTAAATTCGCTTTCTTCTGGGGTAATTTGGTCGCATCTAAAAACTTTCCAACCAATATATCTTGAATCATATTCACACTCTCCATATGAATGAACCAAGACGATTGATAAAATTACTAAAGGTTTCATCCTAAAACAAAATATAAACAAATTAATTTTTTCAATTTCAGATAATGAATTATATTCATTGTATGCATCAGTTAATATTTAATTCTTTGAGTATTTTTGCGCGTTTTTAAATATTTTTTTGATAAAGTTACTGCAGTACCATGGTAGAATTAAAAACTTACATTTTATCCTTTAAACTCCTGTTTGTATAAATGCAAAATACTAATTTGTTTGGAAGGACTTGAATATCACTAAACAACAGCAGTGATCCGAATATATTTAAATTATTTTTATCTTGGTGGTCAACGAAATAAAATTTAATAAAGATAATAATATCACGTCCTTGACTAATGGGACATAAATAAATGAACTAAAATTTAATTTAAACGAAAAAAAAATAATTTTTATAAAATTCTATTATATAATATAATTTTATAAAAAATTATTTTTTTTTCGTTTAAATTAAATTTTAGTTCATTTATTTATGTTATAATTATTATAACTGTTAACACTATAATTATAGTTGCTTCATATTTGGTTAGATATTAAATGTAGAATTGTTCTCTAGAGCTCTGTTTATGACCGTAGGTATTATTTATAGAACGAATATTTTGATAAAAAAATATTCACAAAAGTGGATATTGTAATACTTCCAGTAGATAGAATATAAATGGAGACACAAGGTATATACTTAATATTACTACTTAATAAATGTGGTTTGTACTATGTATAAATTCAAATAAATTAAATGTTTAATAGGTATTATTGTTGATAATGATTTTCAAGGTTAAGTTATAGACTTAAGATGAAAGCAAGATTTTTATTTTATAGCAAGTTTATTCGCCAGTTACTGGTTGTATTTTTTAATAGGACTGATTACATATTCGGCACTATCCTCAACTATCATCTCACAACCCTTTTTACGAAATTCTAAGAAAACCTGAACTAATATGCCAATTCTGATGTGATCCTTTAGAATAGTATATTTTGTAACAAGTTTGGAATACAGAATATTCCGCTCGAGTGAAGAGTTTGTCACACGAGCCGAAGGCGAGTTTGACGGTTTCACGAGAGCGGAATATGCAATTCCAAACGTGTTTCAGACTATACTTTTTCTACGTTTCCAAAAAATACCATAGAAAAATAATTTAATTGGAAGAAAGTGAGGTTGGAGCGGTCTAAAATTTGTTAGATATTAAAAACAGAGATGTCGCCACAAGTGTTTATTCTGTCATCCGATGATAGAATATTTCATTCTGTCTGTAACACTTTACGGAATATATGTCATTCCACAGATAAAAGTTATATTAGAACTTTCAAATTCCGTAATAGGAGTAGAAAAATTCTTTACTTCTTTCCCTCAATAATAAGGACATCAAAGAGGAAGTTGGTTGGTACATTTTCTGTAGTTAAATTAATGCGACGTAAAGGTTTTTATAATCATTTCCCTGTACCATTATTTCTGGTCCCCTCAGATATTTTCATCAAATTTTGTCGCTCAGTGTTATCTGAAAAAACATCCAAGTTAAATTCTATTTCTAAACATTTATGCAATAAATTGATTTAAAAAGCTGTATTTTTCAATAGAAATTATAGAAAAATAAATCGTTTGGTTTTTTTATTTTAATCACCAACCTAAAAAAACTTCAAAAATAGTAGTTTTGATTATGCACATGTGCAGCACATGTGCATATTTAAATAAGTAATTGAATCTTAACGGCGATTTTAAGAAGCTTACGCCTGTGTTAATAAACATCTTGGGATTTGGCAGTTGTGTAAACTGGTCTTTCCCAAACGCAATAATAATCAGTTTTATTAGTATTAAGTATTTAAGAATTCTAGTGTTGTTTTTAGCGCTGTGCACTGTTTTAGGAAAATATGCCAGACCTGCGAGTGACAATGTAAGTACCTACCTACAGATTTTATGGCCAAACAGGTTTACCTACCTAACAATTTTTTAAAAATTTAAGTAAACCATAGATACCTCTAAAGGGTCCCAAACACTGGCAACATTTTTTTGATTTCAAAGTGTAGGTGTGACTCTAAAAAATAGTTAATAAAAACAAAGTGACTAGAAGTACACCGGTAGTACGGGCATTAAATGTACACCGGGTGGAAAAAAATCCTTATTTAGCAAATTTGTATAATTGTATAATATTAAATGGTCGCTTAATTTCGCGCTCAATGGGGCGGGGGGCCCAATGTGGCGGGGTCGGTTGGGTTGAGTTGTTGAGTTTGGGTTTGTTTGAGTAATTCATACTGACATTTCATTAATTTTGTTGTTAATTGTATTTCAATCACTTAATTAAATTTTAATCAATGTTTATAAAACTTGAAAGTTAGCTTAATAATTACATACTTAATTATTATCAAGAGTTAACCAGCTTTTAACCAACTGTTATACAAGTGGGCCAATTTAATCTCAACTAATAAATTCGAAATTTTACCATCAGCTAGTATGGCATGGAAACACGCATGCGCACAAACCTGATGTACGCGCACATATGATGCGCACATACAGGTATTTCTAAGATCTGGGCGGCCAAAATGCCTGTTATCAAAGTTTGAATGACATCGTTAAAACAGACAACCTGCGTTGGACGACACTTCTGAGAATCGTATCCAACCGCTTACTCCCTTTTCCCGCGCACCCCACGTACGTATGATTAGTCTGAATTTAAATGTCTAACCTAGTGTACATATCAACTTTTGGCGTGCTTATAAGACAACCTGTTTTTTATGTGAATATTTGCACCGCAAGTTAATCTAACAAGTTTAAAGTGATGGATCGTAATACACCAGGTAATAAACTTACAAATTATCATATAATAAATATAAATAACTTATTTAAATAGAAATTTTTAATTATTGAAAGTGAACTCTTTTTCTTAGTCTAGTTTTAATGATTTTTTTCTTTTACGAAGGTATTTGTTATGGTATCAAGCTAGATCAAGCTATGGTTTTAATTTTTATGTAATATTTACCCTTTCTTTTAATAAATAACACCAAAAGATTGCCCGGAAAATTCCGGATAACTTGTTTTTTGATACTTCAAAGATTTTGGACAAAAAAATCGAAAAAATAAATAATATTATTTTTAATATAAATAATATATTTTTTTTTACATTTTTCAGTGTATGTTTGTCTTTGGTGTACCAGGTGTTTCGGAAGTAAGGATAGTAACTCGAAAGCACTTGTTTGATGGCATGGAGAGTGCGGATGTGTCTTATATTATAACGTATATGTTAACCTGTACCCATTGCATCCTATGACTCCACCATTGCTCAAGATTTTAGTTCATGGGGCAGTAATATATTGTTACCTATTGGTCAGCTTTCATAGGAGGCAGCTGAAGCTCGTAATAAGCATTTCAGGAGATATCGACAAAACTTTGCAAGAACATTTTTTCGAGAAAACTGCAATAGGGACAAATTAAATCGCCTTTTAATTAGTTCAGATCCTATGTTGAAAAGCATGAGAACAATATAGAAAAGAAAAGCTAACACGTTCTTGCCAGAAGCAATATCAATGTTCATATCTGAAGATCCATACACGAGCGATAATTCATCAGATAGCGATGACGGAATTAACTAAGGGCCGGTTTATCAATGTCCAGTTAAAGTTGCAGTTAGTTATCTGGCAGATAATCTCCATGGATACCATTGTTCTCACAACGATCGATATGGAATTTAACTGTCAGATAGACTAACTGGAACTAAACCAGATATTGATAAACCGGCCCTAAGTTAATTACAAAAATGCTGAATGCTTATTACGTTGGGTTAATTGTACTGTGTGGTGTGTGTAGGAAAATGTAAAGTGTAATAATTACACTTATTACAATTACAATTATTGTAAGAATCTGACTAAGCATATTTTTCTTAATACGCCATTGTGCCGTTTAGTAAAAGTATTGTAAATTAGTATTTTTTTTTGTTAAAAACAAGTTAATTCATCTATTGGCATGGTTAAGATACCATTTAAGCATACAAATAATTTTCGCCGCCCAGATCGTGCAAATACCTGTATGTGCGGCGTTAATAATATCTTAATCAGTTTAATTTAGGAACCTGAAACAACCGTTTAATAATCATTTAAATATATTTTAGGTTTTCACCCAAATCAGCAAAAGTTGTAGCATGGGCATTTATTATTTTTTTCACTTTATCTTTATTCACAAACTTAATAATGTGTTTTGGGGGTTCAAAAGTAGATGGCATCGAAGTAACTTTTTCAAGTAAGTATAACTACTTAAATTATTTTTTTTTGTAGACCATAATTATTAATTGTAGGTTTAATATTTTATAATAGTATTTCTTGAAGTAAGTAGCTGGGGGGTGCTACATGGATTAAAAACTGTAAGAATTTAAATATACTTTTTTTATTAATAATCAGAATAATTTTTTTAGAATTCTCGTTCACTTTTACTACCTTGGCTAATAGTAAACATCATATATATCGTGCTTTCTTGTATATCCATTGGATGGAGTCTCATAACATTAAAATTCCTTATATTCTTTGTATCTATTGTATTAACAGGTATTTAATTAATTAAAAGAGGTAGATATCGGAATTTTTTTTTATTTTACATGTATACGGGGTGTTGGGAATTAATCTAGTTTTTAAGTTGGTAATGAATATATTTTACTAAAGATAACATTTATTTCTATTTATTTTAGGTTTTGTAGTAATGGCTTGGGTGATAATTCATAACACATTTAAAACAATGGGAGAAATCCCCAAAAGTCCCGAGGCAGGTAATAAATATTAACGACAATATTTTTTTTTTAAAAATACGAGTAGTATTGTAAAACCTATGTCATGTTCTTAAGGTTATTTGTTTAAATAATAATAAAGTAATATTAAGTAAAGTGTTTGATTTAAATCGACGTATTTTATTTTTTATTTATTCGGTATATAGGTAGTGTTTCGTATACGACGCTTACCACAGATAAGGGGCCGTTCATTAATTACGTGAGGTGTTTAGGGGGGGGGGGTCGAGCCAAACCTCACCAAATCTCACGTGGGGGGAGGGGGGTTCTCGGCAAATATCACGTAATTTTTTTTTCCGAAAGAAAGAGTGTAAAATTGCGAGAAAACTGGGTTAAATTAAGTAAACAATTATAAGCAAATTGTTTTTTTAGATAAATCTAATGGAATCGAGCACAGATTAACTTATTTACATTAAAACCATGCATTTTAAAAATCTCACGTGAGATTAAGGGGGGGAGAGGGGGTCGAGCAAAATCTCACGACATCTCA